TTTCTTAGAATTTATTTATTATATTTGGATTAATGGGGACAGAATATTAATAAATTCCTGCATCCATAAGACAGTGTTTTGTTTCAGACTCCATTTGACTTCTTCCACTACTGAAAAAAATAAATAAGGATGGAGTCAGAGAATACATGTGACAGAGAATCCTTTAAAACTAGTCTCTCACCTGGAAACAGACATCCTTTAGTCACTTTATTTGTACATCAGGGAATTTTCTGCACTTGTATCCTGAGTAGTTTGAGACATCTGAGGACTCAAATAAAATCTGTCTTATTTTCCCAAGAATTCTTAACAAATAAAAATGTAAAAGTGAATATAACAGTTATTATTACTAATCTGCTTCCAATATTGCTAACACTCTTGCTCAAAGTAATTATTTTAAAAAAATCACATTGAAAATACAGTTAAAATTGTACAGAATCTTCCAAGAATCTACTTTCTCTGGTGGTATTCTCATGCTTCTGATGTTCTTTTGGATCCTCAACTGCTTTGGTTTTCCTCAGGAGGATAAAGTGGCACCACAGGGTAGTTATGGCAAACAACCCATAGGATTAATTCTTTGCCAAAGAGTATGATGGTGATGATGATTTTCTTCTCCTCCGTCTTGGGTCTACTTGGAGTAATTTAATCACATATCTCATGTGACTTTTTCTCTGGCTTCAAGGTAATCCAGGTTTCTGTTCTCCATTCTTACGCTGTAAGGTGATTAGAAAAACGTTGCCAGATTCACATTACTGAAACTACTTTACAAAGCATCATAATGTAACATGCAAATAATATCTAAATTCGGAATGTATATTGTGTCTCCAAATGACATGTCATCTTTATTTTCACCATATTTAAATACTCAAGATTTAGAATTTCTATAGACAAGTTTTTCAGGATGAACATCTGATCTTTCTACCATAGAAAAGCCAATAAATAAAAATATCTGTCAACCTTTTCCTGCACTCACAGAACTATCTGTAGCCTTGGACACACATAATGTGTCCATTTGTTGTGGGTGTTAGGTGCCTGACAAGCTTGTAAGACACTAGCAAGAACAAAGCAAACATAGTTATTAGTATGCAGTGTATTCATTTACAAATTTGTATCTCTGTTCTGTGTTGTAGCTGAACTGCATCACCTCAGTTAAATACTCAAGTAGAATGTCACAATTCAAAATTATTTTTTTTAAGAATTGAGACAGAAGGAAATGCATTTTCTTCTCAGACTTCTGTAGACATTGTCTTTTAGCTCCCATGGTTTGTGACTACATGAGCCAGTATCAATTACTTATAGGATCTCTTTATGAGATCAGGGAACACTAAATGAGCCAATTCCCAAATCAAAAAGGGAAAGAAGATTAGGACCAGGTGAATGAAAATCCCACCCAAAAATAGAAGAAGTCCATTTGTCCTAGTATAAATTTCTTCTGCCAAAGTGGTAGGCTATAAAGGAATGATTGAAGAGCCTAACATAAGATGTAGGCACATCTAGAATCCCTAAGGGATCCTGCCTGGCGTCCATCTTTCCAGAAGTACATGAATCTCATGTTGGTCCAATGTCATATCTACCAACTCTGTGCTGATGTTTCAAGTACCTCAGAGTGTCTAAAACTTCAATAGACAGTCCCCTGAATAAATCTATTAGATATTTAAATTTTAAAAAAGTTGATACAAATGGAATGAAATATGCAAAGAGAAAGTAAGATGGAAAATTGCTGTAGATAAAAAACCCCTCAGCTTCAATGGGAAATTTAAATTTTAAACATATTTGATATGCAGATGATACCAGTTTAAGGAGATGACTTCTTGTTTTGCATGTGTTCCACCTTTTTGTTTTACTTTTACAGGGTACTCAGACATTTAGTTGTGACTGCCTTGAAGAAGTGGCAGTCAGGCCTATGCACATACATTATCTTACTGGTATTTTGCTGCTTATCTGACATATCTGTGCTGCAGTTATGGTGTGCTTGCTATGTTTCATTTTAAAGGGCAGTGGAAACTATTCTGGCTAACAATGTAGAATTTAACATACAAGTGGGACTTAAGCTCTGAGGTCAATGCCTTGTACCCAATGAATATTACTCAAGTATTACTTCAGTTGTCTGAGTGAATTACATTACATTCCTTTCTGAAAATCTTTAGTGTTTTACTGAGTGATACTTGCATGTGAATTTTTTCTTAATTAAAATTTTTGATTAATTTTGCATCTACTAAACCAGGAGTAAAACCTCTGCATTTCTTCCTATCAATTTAAGTGTAGCAACCAAATTAAGGAAACAAGCTGATCCTTTCTAAGTGCAGCATAATGATGGTTATAAAAGGTCCACCCATGAAAGCTAAGTGGTATCAAATGGCTCTTATAATGGTCTGTTTTTCATGAGGAGCTGTAATGTTTGCTGTGTTAGTAATATATGTGTTCAGTTTAAAAATCCCCTACCCATCTAAGCTGTGCATATGTACCACTCATAAAATTAAATACTTGGGGATAACTATGTATTTATTTTCTGCTGCATATGAGTTTATATCCACAACTCTTTAAAAGTATTGAGTAGCTAAATAGATACCAGCAAGCCTACTGTGTGATGCAAGTTAAAGTTTTATTGAAATTATTGTTTTCGTTTTACATTAGATCGACTTATTTTCAAGTGTTGATACTTAACCAATGGATTAATGTATTTTTTGGTTAATGACCAAGCTATTGGGAAAATTGCATTGATACTGACTTATCAAAGAATTACGCATATGCCTATTTGGGAGATGTGATCATTTGATTACTTTGTTTTACTGTTAGAAAAAAATCTCATAATCAAATAAAAAATACATTTCCATAATCCTAAATATTCTGTAAATAATTCTACACCTTTTCATATTAACATAAATTCTTTAATCTAGTCTTGGTTTAGTGACATTATTCATAAGATTGCCAATGATAAAACAAAGAGTAGATTTCTAGATACACACACTGATGACTTGCTACATAAAAATATGTATATATACTTCTTTAGGGGCCATTGCTTCTTTTGTTCATGGTTTTAAATTTTCTGGTTATGTGATGTGAGTACTATTATAATTTGGCTTTCATACCTGTCATGACTGTAACCACTGACATACATTGGCTATTGTATTGTAGTGGAGTTGTCATGTTTTGGTTTGGTTTTTCTCCAAAGATTGCTTAAGAAAAAAACATCTATAGAATACCATTAATTTAGACTATCAAGGACACCAGGTAGATAGGCATCAAAGAACAATAAAAAACTTCTTAGGATTCCCACAGCAAATAACTCTTATGGTAAATTACTGATACACTACATAGAACTCATCTAAAGGTATCTTAAATCTAAAAATAAACAAAACATTAAATAAATGTTAATAGTACAATTACAATTTTTTTTTAGCAAATAATTTCCTGACCTTTTGAATTCTGGGCTTCTCATCACTCTGTGTCCTTCACACTGATGAGATTAGAAATACTGATAATGACAGGACATAACTCATCAGTTAATTTGCAATTTCAGAACAAGACTGAGACTGAATTTCAGTACAAGCAGCAGCAAATGTATTAACGCACCAGTAAACAGCATTGGTGTTTGTACTACTTATATCAAGCAAAACTAAATATATATGCCATTTATTCCAATAAAAATATCAGAGTTTACATTTTTTTTTGAGTCCTCAAGACCAACCTATGTAGCTATTTATACTAGCTATTTTAAAAAAAACAACAAAACAACACCAACCTAAAAAAAACCCAACAGAAAAAATTAAACCAATCCCCGCAAAACCTAAACAAACAAAAGACCACAGAGAATTTGTTCTAAGAATGGAAAAAGAAAATGTAAATCTTGACCAATCTGGACTAGCTGACTTTAAGCCCACTTTGAACAGTAGGTTGAACTACTTGAACTCCACAGGTCCCTTCCGATCTAAATTTTTCTGTAATTCTAAATTCAAAGTAAAAAGTGCAATAAGGGATCATCTACAAACACATGAAAATAATTTTATGTCAATCATTAATAAAATAAGTCATCCTAATCTGCTACACAATTTTCGATCAAAACTGGTCTCTAAAGATATGCCTAGATTTCACTGGTGAGTATATACAGCTAAATTCTTCAGCTTGTTCTTTAGGCAATTTTGACAGGTAAATACTATGAGCTTTGTTGGTCTGGTATGAACCCTGATGAGGTTATTCCCCTAGAATTGAGGAAATTAAGTTTTAGCACATGTACATCAAATGAAAAGAATGTGTAGAAGTGAGTATCAGCAGAGCGTATCAGCAGTGCTGAGTACACAAAAACTTTCCTTGCATTTGTGTCTCAAACATAGTGGTTTTAATAGAACAAAACAAAACCAAACATACAAACAGTACATAAACCACAAACTCTAACAACACTATAATTCCTTGCAAGAGAGCTTTCTTTATGAATGTGTGATTTCATGATGATGCTCCTTTCATTTCCTCTGTCTTGAAATCAGAAATTTCTTCTCTGAGGCTAAAGTGCATAGTTTAAATAATATTAAATTCCTTCATTTAAGTGAATCATGATCCCCTTTCTTTCATCATATTACTGTGTAAAAATTCAGCCCCTACAAATTTTAACAGAGACCTGTGTAAAATATACACTGCAATACAATTTTGAACATAACTCTAAAGAGCCTAAATTGTCTGGTGGTTTGTGATTTGCTTGGTTGTTTTATTTCTTTCATCTACTGATAATCTGAACCATTTTTAAAGTTCGGTTTCTATATCTTACTATCATCTATATTAAATACATTTTTCTCAAACTGATGTACTTTACCTGGTTCAGTGTCCATGAAAGACGGTCGAATTTAACATGAATTCCTCAATTGTCATATAAAAATCATTTTTTCAAGTAATAAAAACTATATACTTTTAAGCCAGTTGTCCTTTCGATGATTAAATATTGTTTGAAAGAAACCTGTCACAACATTTTTTTTCAGACAATTAACCATGAGTTGCGCTTTTTTATTTCTTAGGTTAACAGGATTTCATCTTCCTCCACCTGTGACAAGTACAAAATCTGTATTTTCGCTTCGCTTGACAAGTGACTTTGCAGTTAGTGCTCATGGGTTTAAAGTTTACTATGAAGGTAAGACATTCTTAACAAAATGTTCTGTTTTTTTTTCTTTCTGATCTGTATACATGACAAAACTAAACATCCCACAAAAATTTATACAAATACACATTTATAACCTTATCCAAGTTGCAATATTTGCTTTTCATGCAATCATTCAGATGCATAGATTCACATCTAAAACTAAAATATTTAAAACTCTACCATATGTAGTGCCATCCAGACACAAAATATTTTATGACTTTACCTTTAAAAATGACAAATTATTTAAGTTCTGAAAAACTTAATCATAATCTACCTGGTCCTTCTAACAGAAGCTTATTGAAATTAACATCAACACAGTGCTAGTTACTCTCTAATTTCTCTAGACAGTGGAATTTAAATCCGCAAGTTTCATGGACGGATTCCTTCTCATATAGGGGAAATGGTGACTCAGTTCTCTGAACTGACATAAAGCTACTTCCCTATTGGAATTTTCACAGCTGTCTGCAGATTTCACACAGACACTAAAGTAAATGAGATGGAATATGTATTCCTGAAGTCCAGAAGTTCATAATATTGTATGTATGTTGCAGGAAGGATCTTGTTTGTAATCAAGCTCGCTTGAATGATGTTTCAAGAATTGTTTATATCATGCATTCTCTTTTTTAAATCTATTTCTTGGTACTGGGTCTATGAACTCTAACTTGTGTTTATAGGATATACAAAGAAATTGCTGTTTTTCTCTTTTCCTTTGCTATTGTTCTTTGTGTTTTGGGGTTTTTTTGATTTTGCACTTTTTTTCCCCATTTTTTTTTAAGACACTTGGTGTAAAGATACTTGCTCTTTCTGCTTCCAGTAAGTGTCTCCATCATCAAGACAGTAGCTATAATAAACTGCCTGGAGAAGTTCTGAGGCTGTTGTTCCCTGCTTGGTCCCATCTGCAACAGAAACTAATCTCTGAGAAAGTAACTAGCTGAGTAACACATTGATAGCTAGGAAAATATCTGTAGTAAAATGTCTTCACCCATCGATATAGTCTACCTTCAGGTACGATGCATTAGAATACTATTTAATATAGAAATTCCCTCCTACATATCAAGATATGAAATGAAAAACAGAATATTCAGGCTTTTCTTGTCCCTTGAGTTATAGAAAATAGCTGGTTATGCACTATCTTTTTTTTCTGGCTTGCACAAAAACAAGAGGTAATCTACAAAATAGAAATTCAGGCTATGTGTAAATGGTTTTGGCTAGTTTGTAGCTACTCTGCAGTCTATTAATTTTTCAAGTATTCGGCAACTCTGTTCAGCAGCAATGTTATTACAAAAATGTTCTATTAAAATATATCTATGCAACTCCTATGGTTTTTTAACTATGCAAAATATATCTCTCATGCATGTTGAGTTAACTATATATGGTATCAGCTGTTCTTCTTATAAACTGTTTGCCAAAAGATTTTGCACTACTAATGCTACAGACAACATAGTATGCATCTCAGTTATGACAAAATAATTAAATCTAAAACGGAAGATAACAATAGACCAGTTTGCACATATGACTGTCTCCTCACATAGTTCTTTTCTAGGTTAAAATAACATGCTGATTAATAGAACTCAAGCTCCTAAATCGATGTTAAGTCTAGGGAAATTTTACCTTCAATCACAGAAATCAGCATTTTAGAACAAAATATAAACTTGTTTCCTTGAACTTGATATTAATCTTCTTTGAAACTGAGGTTTTATTTTGTGAAATTAAGAATTCAAAGTAGTTAGGCTAGATCCCAGAGTTTTAATTCAATGATCCTTCCACAGCCAGATCTACTGTTTTAAGAGCTGCATCAAGGCAACTTCAGTTAGTCAGAAAATTTTTCTGTAAATACCCATTTTTCTGACTTCCTGTAAAGCTACCTGTCTTTACACCCAGACAGCAAAGAAATGAAAGCTCATTAAATTACATTCATTTCATGTATCCTTCCTTGACATGAGAGAAAAGATGTATTTAAATGAGAATCACATCAGGGCAATTTCCATTTCTTATCTTGTGCTCTTTGTGAATGTGTATAACCCTGCAATCAACATTTTAAGTTCTGGTTCTTCCTAGTATCCAATTTTCAAAAATTTTGATTGCCCAGTAGCTCCTTCTTAGCTTCCTGATGAAACATCTGCATACTTAGTACCCCTAAATATCAGACCACATAATTTCATGCTTCATTATGGATTTGTAATTTGAAATTTAAGACAGAAATAATTAGCAACCTGTCATTGCAATAAAGCAAAATGATAGAGGTGGAATGAGAGGATAGAGTGAGCAGTAGAGACATATATCTGAAGGGATTAGACCCAGTTATGATTTGAAAGAGAGGGAACATACATTTCATAATCAGAGATAATTTAAAACACTTTGCTTTGAAATGCTTGGAAATAGAAAACATAGGTAGATGGTTATATGGAATGCATTACTGTTCACTATTAAAAAAAAAACCCTAAAAACAAAGCCTGCAAACATCTCTTTCTCTAACTTCTTATGCTCTTGACAAATTTGCAGTTGAGCTGAAAGTTGACAAGAAACTCCAGAGTACCTGACAGAATCTGTAGGAAATATGAATATGTGGTGAATTTTCTTGATCATAACACAGTGGAACATAGTCATTTTCTAATCTCCTAAGAATAAAAATGTGTATGAAAAGATATAAAATTATGTCATTAATAGAAAGACTATGCTGATCCACCATGTGGAAGCCATTGCAACTCCATTTGGTCAAACCAAGTGCACAGGAGACCACAGAAATGCCCATTCTAGCTTGCTAAGCCTTAGTCTTTGCTCTGCATCTCACCATCCATCTCTCCTCTCCTTCCTTTTCTCCTCACCATCTTTCTTTCCTCAATATCAAGTGGCATATTTGAGTTATCTTTGGTACACTATGCACATACTTCTTTATGTTCAGTTTCTTTATTATTTGGAAAAGAACGCATCTGATAAATACACCTCCTTATCTAGCACAATACCCCTGGAGAAAAAGGATTTTGTGAGAGAAAACTGGAACAAATTACTCAAAAGAAATAGACTTCCCTTACAGTGAGAACAGAAAAGGAAAAACTGGAGCTACAATAATTACCAGCAGTAATTTATAATTTTATTTCTGTCTAGTGACACCGCATTGCTGGTTGGAGTGAGAAATGGGGAAGTTCTAAGTTTCTGACTCTGTGCCTGATTTTTTTTGGGAGAGGTTTCTGGCACTTTTTTTTTTTTTTTAGTATCTTTCAGGCTCTGTGCAACATCTGTAGGTATTAATGTATGGAGGAGAAATGCTGTACTTAATCATCTATTTGATAATTTGGGCTAAGTCACAGTGCAGCTGTGTCCTTTTTATTTTATTTCTGGTGAGATTATTTGGTTTTGAAATAGAAGAATTTGATACACTCTTCCATTTCCTGTTGTCCTAAGATACATAAGCAGCTTTATTCATTGAGAGTACAGGAGGGGAAATACAGCTGCTGAGAAAGAAAGCAGCATAGCAGCTTGGCCCCTACAGCAAGGGGCTTCAGTGGACCTAGTCCTGCTTTGAACAGTGCTTCTTTTGTTCTTACTGTGTTATTTTACAGCTACTAAGCAGGTAGCTGACATTACTAAAATCATTGACTCTATTAAGAAATTTACTGCTAGAATTTATTATAATCTTTATTCAAGGTAAATATGATAGACATGTTTGTGCTATCCTAGTGGTCATGGTAAAGAAAAGAAGAATTTAATATATAGGTTATCCTTATAGTGAAAACTCTGAATGTCCTGGAGGTGAATTGAAATTATTGATAATAGTGGTATGAAATGTAACTTTTTTTGGTTTGTACTGCTGCACATCATTTTAAAGCTGAATTATAAAACTGAATTATTAGACACTGTATAAATAATGAAATGGTCTTCATGTTTGTACTGGACTGCTGCTATGGAATTCAGCAATTCTGCTGAAATGTTTTTGAGAGGACTTTGAGAACAATTTAAAAATTTCAAGAAAGATCACGTCTTTATGGATAATGGAAGATGGGGGAAGGAAAGAAGGTAGCAGATGGTGTTTATTAACAGAACAGGATTTCCATCTAGTGACTTCTAAGGACCTATCATGCATTTCTTTCAGCAATATAAAGAAAAATTGGTAGCTGATGTACAGGATTATTGAAGCATGTAGATCAGAAATACTAGTAGGACTTAAATGTGCCAGGATGTGCATGCTAAAAATAATTTTGGCAGTTAGTATAGAGCTAGAGAATGAACAAACAGAATAACCTATTTTTAGCTCTCCTCCATATCAGAATTCAGAAATGTGGCTACACATAATCTAAAGCTTGGATTTAGGGAAGGTTCATGAAGTACTAGATGTATTAAGCTAATAATATCACTGTTAACTTAGTATAAAATTTAAAAGAATACTAATGAATTATTGTTTAGTGTTGGAGTGCTCTCTGCAAAAGTCCACTGAAGATTTGTTTGCCAGTTTGGAGTTGTAAAAGCCACAGACTTTAAGCTGTAAAGTTGTCACCAGGCTTATTACGTGACAATATTATAAGCTCTTTGTGTTGCTGCTGTTTAGGTTTTGTCATAACTGTTGTGGGTATGGCTGTCCTCTGTCATTGCATTGTTTCAGCAACCCCTTAATAAAAATGGAATCAAATTGAATTTGCCTAGTATTTTGGAAAGGGAAGAGAAAGGAAGGAAGATTTAAACAGAGAATGATTAAATTACATAAACAGATACATTTCTAATGGAAACTCCTGTTTTGACAACCAAACTTACTAAATCTAACCAGAAAACATGCTAAATATAAGGCAATCTATATTCTCTATTTTTGCTTCCATTCAACCTGTTGGATAAAAAAAATAAAATAAAGCTGCTGGAGTTTCTATCTTTTGTCTGAATGTATGAATATCTGCCACACTGTCTACAAAGTCCCATAAAATTATCTAACATATCCTTCTGATCTTGGAATACTAGCTTGGATGGAAAACATTCCACTAATGTCTGTTCATGGACTTGTATCT